TTGCCAAAAACCGTAAGATATGATATTTGTTTTCCAAATTATCTCAAGCAAAGATGACATCAAATGTTTCGCCATTGAAATATCACTTTTAGTTGGAAAGAGAAAGGAATAAAGGCCAACAGAAGTCATTTTTCCAATCTCCATTAACAATTCCTTCACTGCTCAATACCTAACCCTGCAGCCAGTGTCACATATTTTGGGTGCTACTTTTTTGACTGTCCCCCTTATCTAGGTACAAACTTCTATTTAGTCACTGGTGCCTTATTGATAAATGACCTCCAAATCTCAGAAGCTTGAAAGAAGAAACTGTGTAATCCTCATAATCATAATACGTCAATTGAGGGTCAGTGCTGAATCTGCTCCTACTCAAATCTTGCTCTTTTCAAAAGAATACCATCCTCCCCATTGTTGATGCTTCTTCAGCAAGAACTTCATATAAAGAAGGTCTTTGGTACACAGCTGAGCTGAAATGAGCTACTAGCTGAGCCGTCACAAACGGGCAGCTGATATGTAACGTGTGAGAAATAAATCTTTGCTGTTAGAAAACCCTGGGATGTCGTGGCCACTTGTTACTATCGCAAAGCTTACAAATATGTAGTCTCTTACTAGATGGCCGTAATAAGAAAGGAGTCTGTGGGAAATGGGAACAGTAGTCTGGGATGAATGGCAGAAAGATGTACGTCTGGTTGTTCAGAAATTAGTTTCTATGCAGTAGAAAAACAATTATATATATATATATGGGTTTACGTGCATTTGTGTGTATGTATGTATACATGTATATGCATGTGTATAGATAGAAAGATGGATGATTGAAAGAAGGAAGGAAAAGAAAGAATGGATGGATGAAGGAAGAAAGGAAAGAGAAAGAAAGAAGAAAGAAAGAAAAGAAAGAAAGAAAGAGAGAGAGAGAAAGAAAAGAAAAAGAGAAAGGAAGGAAGGAAGGAAGAGAGGGAGGAAGGAAGAAAGGAAAGAAAGAAAAAGAAAGGAGGAAGGAAGGAAGGAAAGAAAGAAGAAGGAAGGAAAGAAAGGAAGGAAGGAAGGAGGGAGGGAGAAAAGTAAGATAGAAGGAATTTTTAGGGAAATAGCCTTCCCCTAGACTTAGAAGCAGAATGGTGGGGGTAGGTTGGCGAATCAAACTTTTTTTTCAAGAGTGTCTATGGCCATCTGGGCTATCCTGGCTCTGAAAAAAATATATACAGATAGTCTAAACACATACTTCTCAAACCATCTTTACAGATGGTGTTGTAATTAGAGATTTCCTTCACACCTGGCTTTAGGTCATATTTTTCACTCGTAGTCTGGTTGTTAACTTTTGCCCTTTTTATATCTTTGTGGGTATTTTTAAGGAAACTTCTCGGAGGGCATATGGAGAATTCTTAGTGTTCTTCAGTATTAGGCTAGATTTATTTTCCAGTACTTTTGGGTTGGTGTTTTTCTTCCACCTCCTTTTTTTAACAGTGTAAATAGGACATTGCATACTCTCCCTATTGTGGCTTGCTTACTTAGAAACGGAATCAACCTCGTGGAAATGAGGTGTTACTATGTTTAGTGAGATTGTTGGTGGCTGTCATCATCTCTCTCGACTGTTGGCGTGAACGGGGAGAGCTCACTGGGGAGGACAGATGGAGCCCTGCTGTTGGGACGTTCCGCGCTCTCTGCAGCGCACACGCCGTTCCTGGTAGGCAGGCGCTCTGCGTTCCCGCAGCCTTCTCTCCCACCAGGAGGTGGTATCACACGATGTGTCAGGGAGGCTTTATAGCCTGTTGAAGTCATCTGTTTTTTGGTTTTTTTTTTTTTCCTTTCTCCAAGAGCTAACGTGAGCAATAAAGAAAGCAAGCTCGTGAAAGACGTGACTCTTTTTGTCAGCGGTGTCACTGCGACTCAGTACGTTCATGCACGAGAAAACGGTCGTGTCCGCGCGGTGGTGCATCTGCACCAACCCTCCCCCACCGCTGCCCCGCATCGTGCCAGAGAAATCAGAGGAAGAACAGTCACTCTGTCATATTGAAATTTCACCACAACAGAGGACACATTAGCTGAGATGCTAAACCTCTCACAAAATCCAACACTGTCATTGCTTGATTTATAGTTTTATTTCAATATCAAGCTCTTTTCCTGCAGGTTGGGGGGAAAAAAGTGGGACCATCCTTTTTCTAATCTGCTCTTTTTAATTTGTTTATGTTTATGATTCAGAACCAATGATGATTTCAGTAGATAAAAAGGAAAAACATGAATTACTTTTTTTTTTTCTCCAGAAGGTGCCTAGAAAAATCACTTATTCATTGAGGGAGAGATGCATTTATTGCCTTCTGGTAAACAGAACTTTTCTTCTAACAAAAAGACTCTTTCTGAAATAGTTTTTTGGGTAGCTGTTTCCCCCTCATTGGCAGTGCAGGAAACATGTCAACAAGGATCTGGAATTTATAGACAAAGAACTGCACAAATTCCCCAAAGTTGAAAAATTTCTTCTCTGCAGAAATCAGAGTTTCTGTGCATAAGATTTTACAGTGACAGGTTTAAAATTAAATTTTACAAATCTATCATTAAATAAATATATTTTGAATATTTTTTTCCTTAATCTCCCCTAGAGTAAGGGCAGGGGATCAACTATTATTTACAGCAAAGGCTGAAATTAGGAAATTCACAGAAATATTACCTACTAATGATAAAGAAGATAAAGAAGAAAGAGAAGGTGAAGAAACTGTACAGAAAGGAAACTGACCAAGAATTTCTGATATTTTCACAGGTATTTATAGAGCTTGTAGTACAGAACAGGGCACATAATAAATGATCTGTAAGTGCGTGCAGAATAAATATATAAAAATTGTCTTCCTCTGTACCTCCGAGCTAAGTGGTTAACAAAATTAAATCAAATAGCAAAATCTAATTGATACTGGGAGCACTGTGCGCCAGTTCAGTCTTGGGCAGTGGATATCGTTAGCACGTTGGAAGGAGTTTCTAATTTTTTTTTTTCCCTTTTCACTTCATCTTGACAGGTCCTATTGATGGTGAAGAATCATTTGTGCATCTGTTTCCTTTTTGGACCCTCAATGCACTGCATGCTGACACTGACACATTTTTTGCTGCCTTTTTTTATTTGGTGGCAATGAGCGATGCCCTTGGTGTTAGCACAATTGCTTCAGTTTCGAAATACAAAATCAGATAATGAGACCCCAAGAGTCACTGATGGAGAGGAGAGGAGATCAGATGGGGTGATAGCTTTGTCCCTAGGGAATCTCAGTAGTTACAAACCTGCTTTAATGTTCATTCCATAATGAGTCTGATTTCCCTGAGTTTAAACTGTGAACCACGAGCAAGTTTGGCACTTTGGAAGGTTTATTAAAAAGCAGGCTGTAAGTTTACAGTGGGAGAAACTAACTTGATCTCCATAAATGGAAACTGGCCAACAATGGGGGTCTGGTAGAGTGACAAAAACCACAGACAAAGAAACATATAGTTTTGCCAGAGCTGAATAACAGTCAAGAGACTGATACATAATTAGACCTCTTACCTGCCACTAAAGCTGGACGCCTTTTCAAAACCCTAGGCAGTGGCATAAATGGATAAATACCCTAGGTGGTTGTCAGTCTGTCATATTAGAGTCTTCATTCAGTGCTTCCTCTGCTCAGTCAATCCTGAAGAACCCGTGTTCCAATACATGAAAGGTGAACAATGTGCACTGCTAACGTTGGAACGTTCACCCAGGCGCTGATTCCACACAGCTGTTTTTGGATACCCGGCCAATATTTCTAACATGCATTGACTTCCAAAGCCACTCCATATGTATGAGGTATGGTAGATGGGTTTTAATTGGGATTAGTCCTGGAATTTAGCCTGACAGAGTTAAGGATTAAGTTAAGTTAAGCTGATAACCAGCTCAGGCGGTGGATATTGGAAGGACATTTGCCGCAAACATGGCCTAGGATCTTGGCAAGAGACAATGTGATTTAGTGTTTATACCCGACTTTTGTCGTTTTTAATTATTTGGCTTTGGCTGCTGCTTCACCCTTCCGGGCCTCCATTACCGCATCTCATCTTATGATACATCTCCGCATGTCACAAGATGTCATAGCCCCCATCTCAGGATTATCATCAGGATCAAATAAGATGATAATAAATGTGAAAGCAATTGAATTGCCAACTGTGAAGTAGTCTAGGCACAAATATTAGTGTTTATGAGACATTCATTTAGTCAACACTTACTGGATTTGTTTAAAGTGTCAGGTTTTGTAATAAGAGCTAGAAATATAAAACTAAGGCTCCGTGTCTGCCCTCGAGGATAAACACATAATTATTAGTAAGATGCTCCAAAATTCAAAGCTAGTCCTAGAAACTTCACTTCAAGGTGTCATAAATAGTGAGAAGAGTGACACGATACGTTTAATCACTCCTTTAAGATATTTCTGTTTCTGATAGAGTAAGTGCTCCAAAGGAGTGAGTACTTCTTCCTAAGGGATCAGATTCCTTCATCCTTTTCTGTCCTATGTGCAGACCTTGTCAGTAATAGACGTCATTCGCATCATTGCTTTACAGTGAGATGAAGCCAAAAGGACATTGTTCACTGTCCTCTTCTGGAACACCAGCCAGGACTGACTCCATGAGTTGGCAGGTACATCTCTCCTCTGTTCAAACCTCTGTTAACTGCCCATTGTACTCAGAACAAAAGCCGCTGTGTTTTCTGTGACCTCCTCCCAGCTCTCGGCTGCATCCTCTCCACCCTGTGCGCCATACCCCAGGCATGCCAACCCCCACCCAACCCCGTGTCTTACACAAGCCTGCTCCCGTGGCACCGCTCCTCTAGCTGACAGGAATGCAAGCCCCTAAGCATCCCCAAGGCTCTTTCCTTCATTGTCCTCAGGTTTCCTCAAAGAGAGGTCTTCCCGTCACCTGCCTAAATTAGCACAATACTTTCTCACCTTTTGAACTATTTTCTCTTCTCTTAGCAATTACTGATATTTTATCACAGTATCACTTTTTGAACTTTTCCTTCTCCGTGCAGTGCCCTCTGCCTGTAACTTGCTATGGCCACTTACGCTGCGTTTACTGAAGTCAGTTCCCCGCTACCTCTAGGTAAGTAGTACTGAGATACTGTCTCTGGAAAAATAGTCTAACCTCTTTATCTTGGCTACAATTTCATAACTGATGGAAAACGGAAAGTGGATTTGGATGAGCTTTGTAATTTTTCAGATGGTTTAAGGATTTTTGTGTTCATGGAACCCAAACAATCTTTATTTCCATGTCACCTCCCCCCTTTTGATTTATAGAAAGCATTTCCTCCTGTCGCCAAGAGCTTTGTTTAGTTTGTTTTTTAAAACAGAGGAGAAAGGAAACAAATATTTATTACACTTCAACTAACAGTTAGGAACTTAACTTACATATACATTTAAATTTTGCAATAGTCCAGGGCTATTGGTAAGATTATCTCAGCTTTACAGGTGCAGAAACTGAGATTCAAAGATATCCAGTCACTTGTATAGATGTTGGGTCAAGGTTTGAAATCCACCTCTGGGTGACTCCCAAATCACTACTTTTTAAATTATTCCATGCATTTTCTCCCTCCTTCATGTTTCAGAATCATCACACAGATCTGGCAACCTCAAATAAATTAAGATTTCTTGGCTTGATGCACTATAGCAGCCCCTATTTAAACACTGGACTTGAGCAACTCTGGACACACTAACGGGGCCAAGGCCTTCATGCTTCAAATAACCCTGCATCAAAGCAACCCAGCTAGAAGAGGGGGATCATGCTTTATTTCCCACGATAGGATTATGTTCGGATTTAATGTTGATGCATCAGTTAAGTGCTCACTTTGAAAATCAATACCACACTGTGTGCTTGGCTGGTTCAATACCCCTCAGTCAACATTAATAAAAAACACTAACAAAACAATGTACTGTGTCTTTTTATTCCTTGCTTTCCCGGGATCTCCAGGCCTTTTATAACAATTAATCAATCATACTTATTCCTTCTACACGATAGCAAGTATTCAGTCCATTTAATAAGTTGGTAAACTGAGGCGATTTGGCAAATGAAAAGATTCACCCAGGCACTCTGTCCCCCACAAAGGAAAGTCAACACCTCTCAGCGAATGCTGACATCGCTCACACAGGGAGTGGAGGTCAGCTCCAGCCGGAGAGCAGTTTTCTCTTCTTCTCTTTTAGATCATGATTGTAGAGGCAATAAACATGAAGAAAGACCACAGGTCAGTAAGCATGTGCTTTAATTAACAGTTCTTTGCTGTCCCGACAGAAAACGAACTTCAACAGTCAAAAGAGAAGGCTGAACACAGAGCTCCCTTGATGAACGCAAACTGAAATTAGGTTTCTGTTTAAGACAAGTGGAGGTCAGCACAAGCGATTAGTAAAATTACTAGATCTGCTTTCTCCACGAAGTCTGCACTAGAGACTAAAGGCTGAGGAAATGCACAGTGGATGGGGTCCCTTGCACTGTGTGCTGTGCTCATCCTGTTAGTTATCATACTTCCTAGGTTAGGACTCTATTGACTGTAAAGTGGCTTCACCAACTTAATAAGAACCTTGAAAGGAGAAAATAAAAGGAGTGTGAGGGACACTAACTCATGAAATGAAGATATTGACCATCAGATGCCCAATTTAGGAAATGTTTTTTTTAATATGTGGATCTTAAAATCTAGGAAATGTCGTATTAGTGTCTGATTAACACTTCTTACAAAGGTTCTTAGTAGAAACTCTTAGAGAAACAGCAGTTTAATCTCTTACTATTCCTGTATTGCAATGCCTTTATGAAGAGTCATTTTACTTTTATCTTCATATTAGCCTGCAACCATTTACTAGTATTTACTAAATGCCTGATATTACACAAGCACCATTTAATTTAATTCCTATACTAACTCTATTTGGTGAATTATTTTATCTCCATGTTGCAGCTAAGGGAACTGGGGCTTAGGGAGAACAAGAACTGTGCTGAATATCGTGTAGTCAGTAAGTGACAGATCCGATACATAAATCTAAATGTGAGAAATCTAAAGTCCTCACTTGAATGCTGTATCAGTTCACATTTCTTGACTGCAAGCAACAGAAACTGACTATGGCCAATAGAAGCAAAACAATAATTTCAGGAAAGATACAGAGATTAATATAAAGGGAGACTTGAGAACCAGAGAAGCCCTGGGAACCCAAGATACAGAAATTGTTGGACAGTGTCTTTGGTTTCAACCATTGCTATGAATCAACTCCAAACGTTTACAGTCTCCTGGTTGCTGCTGACAAGTTTCAGAGAAAGAGCTTACAATTCTCCAAGCTTAGGCCACCTTCCCACATCTTAGCTGTTGATGGGCAGTGTGCCATGCTTGATGGCCCTTCCAAGCTGAATCCAATGGTGGGATACAAGTGATACCCAAAGCAGAGAGTGTGTTGTTACTACAAGAAGGGAGAATGGATGGTTTTACTGTCTAGTAAACGTCAAATGACCATGAAAGATTTGTCGTTGTTGCTGTTGGAAGAAGGCATCTCTTCTAAAGATAACAAAATTATGCTTTGTCAGGGTAAGAGGATGCAGATTTAAATTAGAATAAAAAAGATGGGGTATATGTTGTTCCTAAGTCTTCATACCTTGTCAACATACAAACACATCACAAGACTGGCCCTTCTGCCACAGTTTGGACTTCCTTCCCCCTCATTTAATGCTCTTGTTCTGCCTTCTTGTTTGTGCTTGGATCTTACAGCAGGAATGACTATCATAATGAAATAGCCAAGTTGTTCTTTATTTACTCATTTAATTCATTTTTTACTACTTAATTATTGATAATCTACTAGGTACTGAGCAATGTACTTGGTTGAGGATGCATTTAATTCCTCTGCTTCTAAAGTCTGTATTCTAGAGAAACTGGCTAAGAAAACCTCAAGTAAATATATAATTTTAAATTTAATTATCAAATTGAAAATACCAAGTTACAACTAAATCAATATCCTCAGAGCATATCATTCTATTGTCATGTAGCATGAATATTAGAATCTTTTTTCTTCCTCTGAATCAAAATTTTCCATTTCTTTCATAGTTCACTGACCTTAATGTTAAACTCTGGAGCAGATTATGTAAATATATCACTTATCCAGATAAAAACCTTTAGGTAATAAAGACAATTAGCCAGCAGTTGTTACCTCTAGAGTCATATTTTAAAAGTACCTATATATTTAAGCAAGTGAAATGTGACATTAAATTGTTTCCTGAACTAAGCCACTGGCATTTAATTCAAGTCCAGAGCATAAAATGTATTGCCATCTTTCATGAAATGTTTTGTCAAACTTCTGACTGGATGACCTGTTGAGGGCTCCTGAAATGCTAAACTCATTCTACAAATTGGAAAATCAGGATATTGAATCAGTTGACCTTTAATATCCCTTCAAGTTTCAGAATTCTATGTATCATTCTCATTATTTATGTAATAGAGGGACTTCGCAAACAACATTCCAATGAGACCACATACACAGTACCAGAAAATTCCTTAATCATACAAGCCAAGCCAACAGAACGGAAGAGTCCTGTAAATAAACTGATTAATCCACCTGCTCATTTAACCATTATGTCCTAAATCCTGGCTGTTTGCATAGTTTCTCAGGACACAGAGCACGAGTGGACTTTCACATCGTACTGAGAGAGGGTAACCTGGAGGGAATGAAAGCTATTCGTTGGTCAATATCCAAACACGAGGTTACCAGGAGAGATTTATATCTCACTTAGATGTGAATACCAAGTCTGGGGATGTTGCTCTCTCTTTGTTCAAGTAATTTTGATAAATGTTGTTAATTGTTTTACAGCTCTTACCTGTTGGAGGTTGCCCAATAAGACTTCATAAATGCCTTAGGGATGACATTCCCTCTCTTTTTAGAAGGACACTATAAAAATGGAAAGCCCAAACTCTATATTTTATATGTTCCTGACTTGAGACTGATAACTAGGGAGGTAAGAACATAAATGAAGTACTGTAATTTATTACATAAAAGAAAAATTAGAATTTCTAGTAAAGATGGCAGATTGTCTTTAAAAAAGAATAATGAGAGTAGAGAAACTTTTCTTCTATAAGAACAAGACCTTTAGCCATAGCATCCAATACATTTGCCATTTCTCTAAAACAATCTAAGATGAAGTAGATTTTCTCTCCTCTAGAGTTTAGAATGAAACTTTATCCCCACGTACATTATTATTTTCTCCTTGAAAAAGTTACTACAAATCCCATTTCTAACTTCTTAGCTTTTTGTAGTAATTACATATTAGCTAAGGTGTTAATAAGCAACTTGACCACAAAATAAGAACCTTCATGTATCATTGGGTACCTGCGTACCCAATGCTTACGTTTATATCAGGACCAGGGATGGAACCCTGGGGTCCTGGATGCTGATCATTCTCTTCTTGCTAAATCATCTTGGCTCTGATGTGATCATAAGATGTTGGGCAGATGTTATCAAATATGCTTCAATGAGAGGGGATCATAAAGCTCTTAAGTCACTTATCCTTCTAAATGTCAAGTAACTAAATTGATATTCCCATCTGCTGAAAACCTTACTGGGGAGAAAGGAAAATGAGGGATGGAAATTCTAATTTTCTTTCAGAATGACTTCAGTATGTTATCATGCCAGGGACATCTATTTTTGATGTTTCAAGTTTAGAAAAGAGGGATGAATAACTTCAGTGGCTCTTTTAAATTTTATTTCTTTGAAATGCCAAATAATTATGTGCATTCTCTACACCCGTGATTGAAAGCAAC